TTGTGGAATGAAGTAAGGCTACATTTGTGGAATGTCTATGTCTTCAGAAAAACAGAATATAGTCTTCAGAAAGTAAGAACTCAAGCTAATGTAGGCAGAGCAGCAAGATGAGATACCGTATGGTCCCAGAGAAGGAATACTTTTCTTGGTTCTAGATACTATCCAGTTCCTGGTTCTACTCCCAGATGCATTCTGACCCTTGGGTTTTACAAGACTTCTTGATATCCTTATAATAAATGACACCGTATTGACCAAACTTGCTCAAAAGGTTTCTATTAATTGCAATCAAGACACCTATTCATTTTGCAAAACTCAGTCACGGGTTGTTGTTGTGTTGTTAAGTGCCATTGAGTCGGTTCCAACTCAGAGTGACACTGTATAGGGTTTCCGAGGAGTAGCTGGTGGGTTTGAACTGCAGACTTTGTGATTCAAAGTCCAATGTTGATTCTACAACACCACATCAGGAGTCTTCTCTCTAAAGAGTTCCCGACCCTAAACCTACCCTCTGCTTGACTCTCATTTGAGATTCCCTTTACCTGAACATTCCATTACTCCTACATGCTCACCACCCACAAAAAATCAATAAACCACTTAGAGCAGAAGAAAGGTTTCTAGTGCTCATCACAGTGATATTGGATACTGTGGAGACTGAATTGTTCCTTATTTAGCCCGTGAGGATTGTGTTCTTGCATGAGCAAAACCTAGCATTTTATTTACTTTTCTAAGGGAAAAGCACATTCAGAGCATTGCTACTATCAACCAGAATATCAATTTCTTCTCTACTTTACTTGATTGAATCTCAGAGTTGCTCATTTAATTGGCAGATGTTCCCATGAGTTTTGTAGAGGGGCCAAGTCAAACATTTGTCAAAGTTCTCCAGTAGACACAAAAGGAGTTCCAGTAATAAGATAGTATCTCTCTGGTCCCATAGCTTTAACAACGATGCACTTCCCAAGATTACCAATGATCTTGTCTTTGCACTCAATGGACATTTAACCTTTGTCTACAGTTTGACCTTGTTGATTGATTCCTTCTTTGATGTCATGTCTTAGTTGTTGAGGCTCCTCTCCAAATGTTTCTTTCCTTATCCTGACTAGCCCTTCAGTCCTTTTGGGGTTACTTTACTCAGCTTTGGTCAAGTGTTTTCTTTGATAGATTACAAAAAAGAGAAGACTATCAGGCTGATCCTATTTCCGTCCTAGCTTTCAATTATTTATCTATGTAGGGTGTTGACTATTAAATCACCATCTCAGGTCTCATCTCTGAAATGTATCTTTGAATATTTCACTTCAATATCACATAGACATAGCAAACAATCAAGCATAATACATTCAAAACTGTATTCTTTATCTCCAACAGACGCCCCCTGAAAAAAGCACAACTAAGCAAACCACACCCATCCTTCCATATTTTCTCTTTCTGAATTATTTACATAGAAGCTTATGCCAGAAACCTATGTCAACTTCAGTTCATTCCTCTGCCATCAACTACATGTAGTCATTAACCATGTTTTACCTCTAGCTTAAAGTTTGAATAACTAAATAAGAACACACAATCTTATCCTCCAAACCTAATATTTATCTACTTCAATTTTGTTTTCTATGTATTTGGCACAGTAATGATTCCAGATAGGATCACTGAATTTCAACTTCCATCCTTTGTCAGTGATATACGTACAAAGTGCTGGTGGGATGGGAAGGTAGATAACAAGGGAGTAGAGGGAGTAGGCACAATTTGATGGTAGAAAATGCTTCCAGGACATTTTCTTCGTGTCATTTCTGCCGCACCACCAAATAAGGGCCCAAAATGTATGTTACAACATTTGTTTGATGCCTTATTTAAACTGTCTTACTGGACATTTTCCATCTGTTTAGCTCCTAGAAGGAGACTAAATTACATTGTGTTCATATGAAGTTATGTCCATGTGTGATTACATTGGGTAAACTGTGCAGGGCCCAGACTTTTTAGAATGGTTTGAAAAGTAAAATAGGAAAGTTTCCCTTCAACTGAATGAGGAAAAACACTTGTGATCCATTTTGGTCATTCCATTTTTAGTTTATTAATAGAATAAGGGGAAAATGCACGTAATAAATCAACATTGAGCAATGCTGACAAATACCCAAATACACAAAGAACTGGAATTGATAGCTAAAATGAATTTTAAGTATTTTCAGTTCCCAGATTTCCAGAGGTAAAGTGGAGAGAAACTGTAGGGTATTTATTTATTGATTTATTACTTATTAAAAAGAGATGTGCCTGATTGAGGAGGTTTACCTACTAGTTGGCCATTATTTTTTTATCATTTTCAGAAACTGAAGTAAATGTACTCTTATTCTGTTTTACAAGGAGCTCTGGTAGCTAGTGGTTACGAGTCAGGCTGCGAACTTCAAGGTCAGCAGTACAAAACTACCAGCTGTTTTGCAGGAGAAAGACGAGGTTTTCTGCTACCGTAAAGATTTACAGCCTGGAAACCCTATGCAAGGTCACTATGAGTCGGAACGGACTCCACGGCACACCACCACCACCACCATTCTCTTTTACTTAGTCAAAATGCTATGACTCCAGCCCATACATGCTGGAATCATCACTTAAAGACACATGAATGCTACCTAAATGCCCCGTGATATTAGGCCCTCAGTTCCTTGCAAACTGAAGGGGTCAGTCTCAATAATATAGAGGATCCCTTCCTGATCCAACAATCTGATGGTATTTGTTATAATGGCTGCAGCTTTGTAATACCTGTAATAGCTGTTGTAATACCTGTGAACCTCTGATTTGTCCAGGTCACCTCAGACAAAGGGCAAAACTGTGTTTCCAAATGAATGATATACCATGTAGCTCACATTATCCTCACTTTTAAACAACTGAATGCTCAGAAAAACAATATACTTACCCTTATTTTAAAGAAGACTGTCCAATAAGATTATCTGCAGTGGAGATGCCATCTCTGCAATCCAGTTGTGACATTGGTGTTGGGTGACCTCTAGCTGAGTTCTACTCATTGGGACACCATGTGTCAGAGAAGAACTGCCCCATAGGGCTTTCTTGGCTCTCGTCTCTACCAGAGCAGATCTGTATATAGGTCTTTCTCCCATAAAGCCACTGGGTGGGTTGAGTGAATTCAAACTGCCAACCTTCTGGTTATCAGTCAAGCATGTGACCGTTGTGCCACCAGGTCTCCTAGTAGTGAAACTGTTGTTGTTGTTCAGTGCTGTGGAGTCTGCTCTAATTCACAGGGCCCCTATGTACTGCCCAGTCTGTGACTTCTTCAAAAGTTGCCATGTTTAAGCCCATTGAAGCCACTGTGTCAATCCATCTCACTGAGGGTCTTCCTCTTTTTCGCTGACCCTCTAATTCCTAGTGAAATTGTTGTTGTTGTCGGGTCAGTTCCGACTCACAGCCACCTGCTTAGCATTTCTGAGGCTGTAAATCTTGGGAGGAGCAAAATCTCGAATGTCTCTAGCAGAGCAGTTGGTGGAGTGAACCACCTACATTGTGGTTCGAAGTCCAGTGCTTATATTATGGTTAAATTATTGTTATTGTTATGTGCCATTGGGTCAGTTTTGACTCATAGCGACTCTATATAGGGTTTCCGAGGAGCAGCTAGTGAGTTTGAACCGCCAACCTTGTGGTTTGCAGTCTGATCCTACAGTGCCATGTTGTTGTTGTTGTTAGGTGCCATAGAGTTAGCACTGATTCATAGCGGAGAACAAAACATTGCCCTGTCCTGCGCGCCAACTTCACAATCGATGCTACGCTTGAGCCGGCTGCTGCTGCCACTGTGCCAATCTATCTTGCTGGGGGTCTTTTTCCAACCCTCCCCAGCAATAGTCTCAAACTTTGTCATTCTCTTTGCTCAGAAAATCAACCAGGAAGTTAGTGCTGGCTTAAGTTGTCCCCTGACAGAAACCAAAGGTCCAATGGAAAGGGCTCTCCTCCATTTTTAGTTCTGGACAGTAGCCCCCAGCTCTTCTAGAGCGGATGAGCAACCACCAAGACCAGGTCAGGGCTACCGAGGGGGCTGTGTAGGCCCCGCCCCTCGACGGCCCCGCCCCTCACCTTGCTGGCGCACTGGCCAGCCGAAGGTGCGTGCGGCGCCCGGTGATTGGCGGCGGCCTGCGCTGCCGGGCTGCGATTGGCTGCCCCGGCCTCTTTGTTCCAGGTCCCGCTGCAGGCAGGCAGCCGCAGACTGGGTGGCGGAAGTTTGACGGGCTGGCGAGTGCCTGAGGCAGTGTCTCGACAGTCCCGGCAGGTTCCCCCAGCTCCTTCTCCAGGCCTAGACTTGAGGTCCGCAGGGTTGGAGCGCAGCTTTCCGAATCGCAGACATGGACCTGGAAGCCCGAGTGAAGAAGGTAGGGCAGCGCTGGCTGCGGGCAGGGACCCCTCACCTGGAGGTGGCGCCGCCCCCCTAGTTGCCTGATGCGGGGGGACAAGGACGCAAGGGCGGAGTGGATGGGGGGCTCTGGGCTCAGGTGCCCACCCTTCATAGAGAGGAGTCACCAGTGCTCCACCAATTGTCAGAATCCGGGGTCGGTGAGTCTGGAGGGCGAGCGAGAGCGGGGCAGCTTCCTCCTGTCTGTCTGCCCTAGTCTCTCTGCCTTGGGGTGCAGCAAAGTTTTCTTGAGGTGTTTCCACTGCACTGGGCCTTCCTAAAGGGAACCGGGGAGGTTAGGGCGAGGCCGGGACACCACTTCTTCCTGTCTCAGGAAATTCAACTTTATTTAACTTGTGGTGTAGGGGCCCGAATCTCGCTTTGACAGCTCAGACATCTCCGCCCAGCAGCCCGAAGCTGGCTACTGGGATTGAGGAGTCCTTGCACTAATTTGATAACTTGAAAGGTAAATTTCACTCACCCCCCCTCCACCCCCATTCATTACTTGGCTGCCGAAGCACCGCCTCCTTCCTTCTTAGGGAGTTATTGCTCAAAGGGCGATTGTTACCCATGCTGTAGCGCCTGTAGGCTTTTACAGCTTGGCTCCTGGGGACACTAGGACCGAGAGATGGCTCTACCTGCGCTGGGGCTCCGGGGTTATGGGGAACCTCAGGTCCTCTGGACAAATGGCTGGAGACTAGACTGTGACTCAAAAGGAACGCTGATGTCACATTCCAATGAAACATTCTGCGTAAAAGGTCTCATTCGAGGGAATTGCGAGCATGTGTACTTCAGTAAATTTAAGCTGGAAGCCCTGGGTGACGCAAAAGGTTAAGCGCTCATCGAAGGTTAAGTGCTAGTGGAAAGGTTGACTGTTGGAACCCACCTAGAGGCACCTCAGAAGACAGACCAGGGAATCTGCTTCTGCAAGATCACAGCCTTGAAAAATCAATGATGCACAGTGCACACTTGGGGTCCCAGAAGTCTAAATCGACGCTATCGTAACTAACAATAACAAGTTACATCAATTGCTCCTTATCAAATAGGGAAGGAAGCTTTACAGAAAGACCAAACTCTTAGTGTTCTTCTTAGTTGTCCATTTACAGTTACCCTATTGTTATTTGTCTAGTTTCTGAAGATGAAGTCCTGAATTGAGCTTTTATGTGATTTCGCCATAAGCACTGGATTATTGAAAGTGAATGCAAATTTAAAGTGTTAGCATAGGAAACTGTCCTGTCCAGCAATAAAAATTTGCAATGGGAAAATAGGCCACCTTTACAATTAAACCAGCAACTGACAGAGAATCCAAGAGTAGGCAAACAAACTGACATTCTAAGGGATAATTTTATTCTCTTATCTTTGCTCTAAGTTTCTTTTCCTTTTATTTGCTTTTAAGTAACACTGATTTTTTTTTTTTTTTTAAATCTGGATTATCGTTAAGGAAAGCATTTTGTTTGCCATTGTTTACCTTTCTATTGATGAACACCATTCTCACTTTTTTTTTTCAAGTGAATAGGAAATACTTAATAGTAGCTGTTGAAAGTTTTGGAGGTCTTGTCCATTACATATAAGTATTGATTCAAAACTGCTTATTAAAAGTCAACATTCAAAATAATTTTGAAAGTATTTGAGACGAAAACAAGCAATCCTGAAGAGGAAAACTCAAAGTTAAGAATCAACATGTTATTTGTAAAGAAATTGCCGAATGTTATTTATAAGCGGTTTCCTGACAGTTTCAAAATGTGGGTTATGATAATAAATAATGCCTTTGACGTGTGGTGTGATTTTTCGTCTCCATTCCTTCTTTGCTTTAAAAGATTATTTATTCTTACCGAGAATGGTGTCCTTATCTCTAAGCCTCCTGAGAAAAAAGCTTCCATAAACGTAAAATTTCTTAGAGATGATCCTTTGACATTAAGGATCCTTATTTTGTTGCCTTGTCATCTCTGATGATTCTTAGGGTAGAGTCCTCAGCCTGTAAATTGGAAACCACTTAAAGATCCCCAATTTGACTGCCATCCAGACCCTCTTTGTTCCCTTGTACAATTCTTGGCAAACTTTATGTTCTGTTAATTGGGCAGTAAATTTTTCAGTACAAAAGAGTTTGAAGATCAAGTTTGTGGTTCAAATCCATCAAATGCTTCTTGGAAACCCTATACAGAATGGACAGCACTTAACAACAGCCTTATGAATACATTTCCCAAATTTCGACCTAATCGCAAAAAGAAACTTGTATTCCTTTCGAAATAGTTTTTCAGCACATTTGAAGAAGGGACAATTGCAAGATTATCTCTGATCTACCAGCAGCAGAGCCTGTTCACCCTATTTTGAAATCTAGTTTTCAAACCTCCTAATTTTTTTGTGACTCACATACACAAGAAAAGGAATAGTTTCACTGAACCTCAAAAAAAGCCAGCTCAGAGGTTGAAACAAAAACATACCATTTAAATAAAACTAAATTTGACTTTTGTTTTAAGATACATGGCTTTTTATTCTTTTCTTCTTAAACTCTTACATTGTTGATTTCATAAGGAATTTTTCCTAGGCAGATGAAATGTTTTTCTTTTTTTCTGTTAATGTCTTGTGTACAAAGAATTAAAGAGGTTTATCTTTATCACACAGTGACCTAAGTGGATGATATATTACTGGGCTTGTAGCTTATAAAGGGGGAGCTCCATGTCCACATTGTTTGCACCAATTTGTTAGTAAAACCCACTCTCTCAAAGACAAGGGATTTTTATAATATAGATTTTGCTATATTTTTGTTTTCTTTGAAGTAAGCAAACTGTTGCTAGGAGGTAGGAGATAGTTTGGTTATACAGAGGTTTTGTTTTAACAATATTTTAGAGTAGAATTTGACTTGCATGTCCTTGCTCTGTCTTCTGAGGTATTCATCTAGACCTCTTGTGTCTTAAGTCTCTTCGTTGTAATTGACTTTGTGTAAGTGGAGTCCAATGTATACTCGGAAAACAATGGCCTTTGAGAAACAGAAACAGAGTCACATTTTGTGGTGAATGGTAAGTTATGGCTCAAAGCCAGCTGCTTTCCTCTTTCCTTTCTGTGTTACTCTCCCATGAGAGCCACTTTTTTTTCTTTAAAAACATACCAGAGAGAAAGAAAACTCCAGTAATTTCCCTTATACTGCCTGAAATTGCTGCAGGGCATTTATTTTTACACCTTATTCCTTTCTTGCTTCCATTCTAACCTCTGGTTTTTCATCCATTCAAATACTTTGGCATGTTTTTCTTCCTTTTTTTAAAATGACATACATCTTAAAGATTATGCAGGTCACTAAAAATCCCCTTTCTCTGCCTCCAAAGCTTGCTTTAAAAGCTTTCATTCGCCAAAAAAACATAGTGAAACCAAGTGATTTCAATCGGAAAGAATACTGAACCACAAAGATTATTTCCATAAGAAATTAGAGTGTGCCTTTTCTCTTAGGTGGTCCCTGATTGAAGCTGAAAAGGCAAGTAGATGATGACCTGCATGCATAAATGTACAGTTGGATTCTCTGCTTCAAACCATTCTTGCTGTGGGACTCATTGGCAAGACTGGGGGAAAGAAAGGACAAGGTACATCCTAGGGCTTTGCCTCAGCGACAGGCAGTTACTTTGCTCTCAGAACAACTCCTAGGCTGTGAAGTGATCTGGTCTACAGTTAGGCTTTAATCTCTTCTAACCCATGGTGTGGTTCATTACAGTGATTGGATAGGAAGAGTCACTTTTGCTTAACTAGCCCTGTGTATTGTTTTCAATAGAACTTGGGTAGGTTTTTGTGAGTGGTTTAAAAATTTTTGTTCCTTTATGCTAGTTTAAGAAATAGAATTAGCATTCGTATCTTCACTATATTAGTTGTGTACCGTTGTTCCATCCCATTTCTTTCATTTGTTGGTGCTTATGGTGGTGGTGGTGGTGGTGGTGTTCAAGTGCCGTAGAGTTGGTTCCGACTCATGGCAACCCTGCATAGGGTTTCCGAGACTGTAAATCTTTACAGGAGCAGAAAGCCTCATCTTTTTCCCATGGAACGGCTGGTAGTATCATACTGCTGACCTTGAGGTTAGCAGCCCGATACATAAGCGCTACGCTGGTGCATATACTCCACTGTATCTACAATACTTAATTTGACCCATCCACACACAGTGCTGCTTCTGATAGAAAACTTTCTTCATGTTCCCAGCCAAATGCAAAATCTTTCTCTTGAATTTCCAAAATATGTTATCTTTAACTTTTATAACACTGATCATACTCCCTGTGGATAATAACTGCCTTTATATGTTTCATCTTCCTGCCTACACTCCACACTTATTGAGATGAATTCATATCAGATTATACTGGCATAGTTTTCAGTTTATAAACTATGTCATTATTGGAGTCCTGGTGTGGTGTTATGTGATAAAGCATTGGACTGCAAGTTCAGTGTGAACCGCAGGGTCAGCAGTTCAAATTCACCAGCTGCTCCGTGGGAAACCCTATATAAAATCAACAACAAAACATTATTATTGTCATTCAAAGCAATCTTACGAAGTAAATCTTAGCCCCATTTGAAGAATGAAGAAATTAAGTTGTGTATTGATTAATCTGAAACTGGTAAAACAACTATGAACTTGAACTGTAGTCTGCAGAATTCATTTTCCTTTCACTTCATGCCACCTGGACTTTGAATCCTCTTGTATCCTCATCTTGCTCAATAAATACATATATGTTAAATGAATGACCCTAATATAAAACGAAGAGTCCCTGGTGGCACAAATGGTTAGGAACTTGACTACTATTCATTTGAAAGGCTGGCAGTTGAAACCTCACCTGAGGCTTCTTGGAAGGCAGGCCTGTCATTCTGTTTCTGAGAGGTCACAGCCTTGGAAACCCCTATGGTGTGCACTTAGTCTTGCTTGTACAGGATACCATGAGTCAGTATTGACTTGATGGCAACCAACAATATAAAAAGAGAAAAAAGTAAGATGTATTTGAGCATTTTTAGGAATTTGTTTAAAAGAATTATGTTGGAAGAAGTGGATTCTATTCTTATAAAATGACTACCCTGCTGGTTCTATGTATTTTATTTATATTTTATCCATGTAGTTTGTATGCTGTTTACTGTAAGTTGCTGTTGCTCTTTGAATGGAGACAAAGTCTAGATAAAATAAAAACATTGTAAAACATTTTTTTCTGGGAGACTTATAAGCAACAAAATTTCTTAGACTCCAATAATATTTTGAACCATATCCTCTTAATTTCTTCCAACTTCTCAGTTTTTGTTGGGAATAAGAGTAACATTGCCTCTTCACTATTTAACATAGCCCTGTGCAATACTGGCCCTGCTGTTACCTCCCTCATTTGACAGTTCTACCAGTGACATCTGGCTCCATAGGAGGACACTCACAGATAACCTGCCAAAGTCTCTGTTATACCTACTCAATGCTACAGTTCATAAGAAGAATCACACACAACATGGTAAGCTGAAAAAGGTGGTCAGAGTGCTCTGAAAATGTCACACCAGATAGCTAAGAATAGTGCAGCTATTCTTTTTTAAGGAAAAAAAAAATAGTTTAGCTATTCTATTTAAGAAAAAAATAAATTCTTAATTCTGGGAGGAAATTTTTTTTATAAATTTCTCATTCTTGGTGCAGGAGGTTTTTTGAGACATGGTGGGGAACACAACATGATCAGTTATTTTGTGAGGCCTTCCCTGAGCTCTGGGTAATACTCAGCATCATGTGTTTGGAATTAACATCACGGGTCACCAGTGAGCTCAGGGTGGCTATCAGGGGCCTACTTAGTGGAAGGAGAATGACACACGGATACAAGAGAACCACCTCTTGTGTTCTTTTTCT